TTTTTATTCTGAGACAAGGTTCCCCTAAGTTGCTCAAGGCAAGGCTAGAATTTGCAATCCTCCTGCCTCGGCCTTGCAAAGGGCTGGAATCACAGAGCGTCCACCATATCCAGCCTGCTTTTGTATCTTCCGCACACTTACGAGATTTCAAAGTTTTTGAGAGTTCCCCAAATCTTGATATCGTGTGCACACAGTTCACATTTTCCCCAGTTATTTAGACCATGGAGGCAGAGAGAATTCCTCTAATTCCGAAGGCTTCCTTTCAGGCAGGCCGGTCTGTCTCTGTCTCTGTCCGTAGATTGGAAGGTGCATGACCTCTACTCCTATTTTCCCTGGTGGCAGGAACCCAGTTGGCCTGTGGTCTGGCCTTGGGTAGGGGCCGAGGTGAAGGTGAGTCTCCCAGTGGCTGCAGGTGAAAGTTCAGGCTACACTCAGGTCCCCTACCTTGACGGATTCCAAAACCGGCTGTGCCCCTTCACCTTGGGTTGGTGCAAACCCCACCCCCATTCCTGGCAGCTTTCCCGGGGGGCCCATTTACAGCGAGGGGTGGCCCCCTCCCTCAGGGAAAGGGTGTTGGAAGAGGACAGACCAGTTTGGCAAAAGACTGGGACTTTATTAATTGCTACCTAAAACAAGTCAGTTGAGGTGGTGCATGCCTGTAATCCCAGCCTTTAGGAGGCTGATGCAGGAAAATCTCCAGTTTGAGGCCAGCCTGGAAAACATAGACCTTGTCTCAAAAGACAAACAGTGCCAGTGTGATGACACTCTGGGAGGCTGAGTCAGGAGGACTAACACAAGTTGGAGGCCAGTGAGATTCTGTACTAAGCCTCCCCCCACCAAAGAAACTCCCTGAAAACAGTGTGGGGACATACAGCAGGAGCCAGAAGTGAGACGCTTAGAGGAGAGCTGGGGTGTCTTGGCCTTGGGGCGGCAGCACCTGTAGGCCTCGCTGAGTGAGCTGCACCTTGCCCGTCAGTCACGGCTGCAGGCTTTCGGGTTTGGATCCGGACTCTGACTCCTTCCTGCCAGATGTGAAGCCGCCTGAGGCTCCTGGGGATGGCCTGATCTGGTGTGAAGACCTCAGGGCTAGGGGTCCCCAGCAGCAGTGGCTGCCTTCCCGTCCCCACCCTGTCACTGTTGACTGCGCAGTGACATCTGTGAGCCTGAGGGTGAAGTAGGAGCCCTTCGCCCGTTCCTGCCCAGACTGGGCCCTGGGCCTCCGCCATGGCCTCTGCCGCTTTCCCTTCTGGGCACCACAAGCCCGGGCAGCTGCACCTGGGGACCCCCTCTGGCCCTGCTTGCTGGCTGCTTCTCCCTTTCCAGCTACAGGGCAAGGGAAGTGCGTTTGGAGACTGCTGGGGTTCTCTCTACTCCTCCCACCCCGTACTCCTCCCACCCCGGCATTTTGGAGTGCAGCAGAGCACTAGGTCTTGTCCAGCAGAAGCTGGAGGTGGAAGGGCAGGGTGCAACCCCCCCGCCCCCGCCAGTGGTTTTCTTCTTTCTTCCTCATCTCCGCTGACTCAGAGCTCAGTGTGCGGCCCCAGCTGTCCCTTTCTTTACCACCTGGGACCCTGGCGGACTCCTGGGACCCTGTGCACAGCTGGCCTTGTGTGGCTCCTGCTTAGACCTTAAGCAAAAGTGGGGGAGATCTAATGTGATGAGTGTGGGTGACCGGAGCTCTAAGTGCTGCCCCGGCCAGCCGTGCTTGGTCTCCCCGGCCTCCGATGCACTTGTAGAATGAATGAATGGACGCTCAGACGGATGGACCATGAGCGTCCCCAGACCGGGTGCAGGAATGAAGCTTCAGTGGTCAGCACTGCCCCTGAGCTTGGGCCTAAGAGGAATTAGGTGGCCGGGGGCTTAGAAGACAAAGGTTCCTGTGGCCTGGGCTTCCATAGCCCCTCCCTGCTGGGTTTGGGTCGCAGCTGGGGGCTCTGCAGTGTAGCCGGCAAGTTCCCAGGGTGGGGTGCCTGCCCTGCAGGGCTGGGGGAGGCCGAGAGGCCCTGCCCTCCTCCCTCCCTCCCTCCCCTCCCCGGCGCATTCCACACATTCCAGACGATGTGCTGGCCAGGGCTTCCAGGATGTGGATTAGTGTCCTGCACAGATTCGGTTTCACCACTGCCACCCTGCCTGTCCCCTGAAGGAGAGCCCTGAAAATGAAGGTTTGACCTAGGTGATGGGAGGCATCTTGGGAAGGACTTCAGTCCCTCCCCCCTGGTCCAGGGCGGGTCCTGGTGCCCAGCCCAGCCCTGAAGTCATGCAGAGCCCATGACTCTAATTCCCACCTCCTGGGGGACCTCCGGTGTGATTTGGCCATTACTTTGGGAGCCTAACCCGGGACAGATGTGGGTACCCTTGGGCCAGGGATTGGGACCTGAGGCCCCAGGAAAGATGTACTCAAGGTTCACTGCATCTGCCAGCAGCATAGAGCACCTCAAAAATTCTTTTCTCCTTGATTTTTTTCTTTTTAAAGACAGGATCTCATTATGTAGCCCAGGCTGGCCTTAAACTCACAGGGATCCTCCTGCCTCAGCCTCCTTAAAAGCTGGGCCTGTGGGTATGCACCACCACCCATGGCTTCAGAGACTGACTTCTCCACGGAGCCTCCTTTTCTGTTAACTCCTCCCAGTAAGGCTCTGCAGAGCTGGAGGGACCCTGGAGACCCTTGCATTCCCTCTTACACCCGGACATGCACGGTCCCTGCATTGACTCTGGCACCTGGAGTCCTTTCCTCCCCACTGTGGAGCAGAAACAGGACTTGCATAGCCTCACTTCATGGCCGATCCAATTGGAGGACGGGGTGGAAGGTGGACCCTCAGGCCGGCCTGGGTCATGCCCTCCGATGGGGCTTTCTGGCTTTCTAGTTGAGTTCCTTGATGTAGGAGAAAAAAATTCCTGACCTCTACTGTAGGTCCGTACAGAGTTTGTGTTTCCTAAAATCCTAGAATGAATTTTAGGAACAACAGAGGTTAAGAGCAGCATCTATTGATTGAGAGAAAGAAGGCTGCTGTCTGAGAGACAGAGGGATCCGGAGCGGGTTCCAGGGACTCTGTTTTCTAGGGGTGAGGTAAGGGTCTAAGGTGGGGGGAACTGGGAACTTGCACAGCAGACGGGCATGAGGTGGGACACAGTTGTGGTCAGCCAGAAGGTTTAATAGTTCAAGTTAAAACTGGCCAAATTGGGGACAAGAGAGGAGGCCACTCGCATAGCAGGCGAGCATGCTTAGGGTCAGTGACTTCCTGTAGGCTGGGGTGATGATTTCTGGCCTCCCAAGGTATCCCTAGGGTGTGGTGCATTGGTTTACCTTCTGTCAGAGGCCTGGCCCACAGCAAGAGGTATGTGTGTGCCCCCCAGGGTCACAGACATCTATCTGGTCCTCTGTGCTTCCTTCCTGGAGGGCCCAGCCCCGCCTGACTGCCTGTAAAATTTCTCACTAGCTCAGCTGCCCGGGGCTTGGTGGACTTATCTTGAAGCAAGCTTGTGATCAGGGCGGCACAGGGGCAGATTGGCAGTTGATTGAAGAATCCAGTGGGTCTTGAGCCTAGGGAGGAGGGCACTGATCCAGGTGGTGAGGACCACAGCACCTGGAAGCTTCCCGGGTAGTTACATTAGTGAGGGGGCCTTTGAGGGCCACGGAGTTGGGAGATTGCAGGCTTCACAGGTGAGGCCCTGGGTCCAGTCCCCAGCACTACAAAACCAGCAAAACCAATGAAAGACGAAACCAGAAAAAACTTAGATGTCAAAGGTACATTTTGTAGGGTGTGGTGATGCATGTCTGTAATCCCAACACTCTGGGATGCTGGGGCAGAAGGATCGGCACCCAGGCTCGTTGATGAATCCCCATTTCCAAATAAAAAGGGAGGCTGGAGGTATGTAACTAGTGGTGAAAAAGTAAAATGGGACAGAAGGCACTGAAAGAGGAGATGCAGACAGACGTGGTTGAACACGCCTATAATCCCAGCATTTGGGAGACCGAGGCAGGAGTATCGCTATGGGTTCAAGACCAGCCTGAATGACAAACCCAGAGGTTCCAAAAGCAAAAAAAAAATGTGGCTAGCCAGGTGTGGTGGTGTACTGCTGTAATCCCAGCACTCTGGAGGCTGAGGCAGACTGATCTTCGCAAGTTCCAGACCAGGCTGGGCTACAAAGTGAGCCCAAGGCCAGCCTGAACTGCATAGTGAGACCCTGTCTCAAAAAGATAAAAAGAAAAATGAGGGCTTTGCCGGGAGGGGAAGGCGATTGGAGCAGGTCAGGTGCCTTAATCGGGCCACCTTAGTGTTTGCCAAGGTGCGGCTTAGGTTTCCTTTTAAGTACCCAAGGCCAATCCCTTCGGCTGGCTTTATAAATATTATCTCCCACCACCCACCGCCTGTGAATAGGGATTAACCCTGCCTTACTTAGGAGGAACTGTGGCCGCAAGTTAAATAATCTTTGAAAGACCCGAGCTAATAAGTGGTTCAAGTCCGGGTCTGTGCCAAGGGCTTAGCCAAACTATTGTCCTGCTGGAATTTGCGCTCTGCCAAGCCCCGAGAGGTATGGCCTGGGCTTCCTAGCAGAGTGTCGGGTAGCTGCCAGGGAAACACTTGCCAGAGGAATTGGTGACTTTTTTTGTTTCTGAGAGTCTCGCTAGGTAGTTTAGGCTGGCTTCGAACTCTGCAGTCCTCCTGCCTCAGCCTCCCTCAAGGTGGGAGTACAGACATGCACCACTACTCCAGTCTAATAACTTCCGTGTTCCTTGTTCAAGTGCCTGAGAGTAGCAGGGAGGGGAGGGAGATGCTGGCTGGCTGGAGGAGCCAGGAAGACGCTAAGAGGTCTAAACAGACCAACACTGAGAGAGTCCACCTTCAGCCTCAGTCCCTAAAACACCCTCGGCGACGCCTGCCTGCGCCTGTGAGCAGACGCCGAGGAGGTGAAACCTGGGGCCAGGACTGGAAACTGCCAGGAGCTCACGGCCCTCAGCACCTGGATCTGCCTCTCACTGCTGTCCTCTTTCATTTCAGGAGCCGGAAAATTCAGATCCGAAACATACCGCCCCAGCTGCGGTGGGAAGTGAGTGTCCCCGGGCCTGAGTAGGGGTTTGTGGGGTGGGGGTGGCCTGGATCCCAAGCTCCAGGTGGGCTGGGTTGGTGGCAGAGGCCTCTCCACCTCCAGGACTGGTTGGCTGCCATCACTAACTATCCCAGGACTCCAACTTTTGCGGGCGTCCGCAAGGCGGGGCATTAGCTGGTGGGCGTGGCCTGAGTGACTGGGCGGGGCATTAGCTGGTGGGCGTGGCCGGGAGGTAGTGGAAGGCAACCCAGGGGCCCAGTTGCTGCCAGCTTCTCCGCAGACCTTCGCTGTGCCAGCAGAGGAAGCAGGTGGGGGCTGCGGTGGGGTGGGCCTGGTCGGGTTGTGTTGTAACTGCCCCTGTCGTCTTCTGACCTCAGGTGCTGGACAGCCTGCTGGCTCAGTACGGCACCGTGGAGAACTGCGAGCAAGGTGAGATCAGGGGTGTGGAGGGTTGTGGGGGCCTGGGCTTTAGGCCCTGCTGTTTCTCAGTGGAACTGGGTTTCTCTTCTGTCTGGTGGGAAGCTTGGGTAAATTCCCAGCATGAAAGACCCAGCCTTTTAAGGTGATGATTTAGGGGTGCAAATTGTGTATTCCATCTGCAGAAGTCTACTGCCCTTCGTTGGGTTTTTGACACAGGTCTCTTATGATACAGCCCAGGCTGTCCTGAAACGAGTGTCCGTCCTCCTGCCTCAGCCTACTGAGTATGGGGTTACAGGCACCACCGCTCCCGGCCCCCAAACCCTTTCACTTTAAAAACATCTTTTTCCTTGATATTGGCTAGAATAACCCACAGGTCACCTTTTTTTTTAGACACCTCAAAGATGTGTCTTTGGTCAATGTAAAAAAAAAAAAAAAAAGTAGAGAGTTTATTAGTTAATACGGTTTGATGGGCGGTGGGGCCACAGAAGGAATAATCCAGAATCCTAAATCATCAATATATGCTGGAATTTTAGGGTTGCTCCAGGACTGGGGTTATAGATTCCTGCTGGGCCTTGTGGCTGCAGGCCTATCAGCGGGAGGGTGAGGCAGGAGGACTTCCAGGAGTTCGAGGGCTACATAGTGATTTCAGGGCACCCTGAATGACAGCAGAACCTGTGTGTGTGGGGGGGGCGGGGTCTAATGCACAAAAACAGAAATTCACCTCTTTGTGGCGTGCACTGGGGTGTCTTGATCCACGCATTCCCTGGTCACCTGGCTCTGCAGACCCTGGTTGTCTTTCAGGGAAAACTCCCATCTTGAAGCCACCTGACACCAGTGTGCCATCTGCAGCCCTTTCCCCCAGCCATGTGGTGCGCAGCACCCCCAATCCCTCAGCACCCAAATACCTTCTGCTGACCTTTATGCTCTCCACCCCTGCAGTAGCATCTTATTCTCCCCTGAGCTAGACTGAGCCAGGGGCTGCGCCCAGAGCTACCTCCCTCAGTTCCCCCCTTTTCAGACGGGGCCTTGCCCCAACTCCGATCCTCCCGCCTCAGCCCCCCAAGTGCTGGGATCTCAGTGCTAGGATGCCTGTGATCCTCAGAGCCGGAAACCCTCCCCTGGGCAAGACGCAGGCAGATTTTCACCCTTCCCTGCGGGGCCAGCAGCCACCCTGTCCACACCTCCAGCCAGGACTTTGGACACTGGTGAGGTGTCCTTGGGGACAGGAAGGGTTCTGGAGGGACTCGGAGTCCCAGGCTTCCTCTGCCCAGGTCTTCCCTGCCCGTTTCTGGGCTGTTTGCTCCTGCAACCCTGCTCCTTGCCCGTGTGTTGATGGTTAACTAATTTCCCTCTCCGAGGCTGAGTTTGTCTTTGGGGCCGGGCCTTTATGCATGTGGGGGTTCCCTGGTGCAGAGCGGTTTATGGCAGCCACACCCCTTTCCTCCTGCCTTTTGGGGGGCAGTGGGTGAGGAAATGAAAATGGGAGAAGGGAAGGCCAAAGGCTGTTGGGGATCCTGGTGGCCAGGATGGGTCAATGGTGACTTCTCTGACATTACTTGAGGGTTTTGGAGGCCAGCTCACCTTCTGCACCTCTTCTTTACTCAGCTCGAGGAATGCTGGGCTTGGGGCTTGGTTGGTCTCAGGCCTGCTCAGGTCTGACACCTGCTCTCTCTCCACAGTGAACACGGAGAGCGAGACCGCAGTGGTGAACGTCACCTACTCCAACCGGGAGCAGACCAGGCAGTGAGTGCCTTCTGGGCTGGGGTCCCTCTGCATGGCTAGGACCACAGCAGCCGGGTGAGGGGTCATTAGGGGTCCAGAAGGGCTGGAATCGTCCCTGGCTCAGTTCTGAGTTGGATTTGGCCGACTCCGGACTCTGAAGAGGACTTTTCGCGATGTGTACCATCTGTGTCCCCTGCCTACACATCTCAGAGGTTCCTGAGCTGGGCACAAACCTCTCAGGAGGGCAGGCGGACAGGCTTTGCTGCGTTGACAGCGCCATCTAGTGGCGACGGAGGGAAATGCAGGGTCCAAAAAAGGGGTTCCAGCGAGATGCCCACTGGACCAGGTAACTCCGGCAGTGATGGTTTAGAGTCTTGGGCTCACTCACGCTTTCCAGGGGCCCATTGCAAATGCTCTGCTGCTGAGCCTCGGCCCCAGCCCTGCCAATTCCCATTAGATGGCACCTCCTCGGGTCAGGATGTTCTAGAGGTTTCTGCTGCCTCTGTGGCCACCCAGGTGTCCTGGCTTCTTTTTATATAGAGCTTGCCTGTGGTGGCCAAGTGATTTCATTCAGTGTGGTGGCTTGAACCCAGGGCCCGCTCCCTAGCTCAGTCCCTACTCCTGCATAATGTTCTTGAATTTCGAGACAAGATCTCATGAAGCCACTTAGGCTGGCCTGGAACTTGTGATCCTCCTTCCTCAGCCTTCCAGGGTGCTGGGATTCCAGGCATGTGCCTCCTTGAGCCGCTCTTGTGAGCGTTTCTGACCCCCGCCAGCCTTGGGAGTGGATGGTAGATAACGCCTCCCTCCACGCCTGCCCCAAAGCCCCAGATTAGACCCTCACACACGAGCGTGGACCTCCATGAGGTGAGCAAGCCATCCTGCTGCTTAACCTCCCAGTTTCAAAGATGCGGCAATGTAAAGATTATTCACATGGTCACAGCCAATGCCAGTGGATCAGGGTTGGCAGCCTAGAGAGAAGTCCATGGCAGAGGACTGAGCAGTAACAGGCCTCCTGGGAAGTCCTGGGAAGTGCAGGAGCCAGGTGTGGGCCCGTGGCAGACCCTGGTGCCCTGGGTCTCGCAGGATGCCCGCCGACTCAGTTTTCCTTCTGCCTCTCTGCTGGGGAGCACCTCCTTCCCTGTGGAGCACCTGACCTGTTGTCCCTTCCCTGTCCCCAGAGCTATCATGAAGCTTAATGGCCACCAGCTGGAGAACCACGCCCTCAAGGTCTCCTATATTCCTGACGAGCAGATCTCGCAGGGGCCCGAGAATGGACGCCGGGGCGGCTTTGGCTCGAGGGGTCAGCCCCGCCAGGGCTCGCCGGTGGCCGCAGGGGCCCCAGCCAAGCAGCAGCAGGTGGACATCCCCCTCCGGCTCCTGGTGCCCACGCAGTATGTGGGCGCCATCATTGGCAAGGAAGGCGCCACCATCCGAAACATCACCAAGCAGACCCAGTCCAAGTGAGCCTGGGGCCCTCAACAGGGGACGTGGGGAGGTCAGCGCTTTCCTCTTAGAGGCTGGGCTGTGGACCTTCCGGAGTCCCTGCCTCCAATCCTGCATCCCCTCCGAGGGCTGGGCAAATGGGAGGGAAGAGAGGGGCTGGGGTGCACCGAGGTTTCTCAAAAGTTGAGTGTGGTGTCCCCTGCCTATGATCTTAATCCTCAGGAGGCTGAAGCAGGAGGATCACCAAAGTTTGGGGCCAGTTGGGGCTACATAGTGAGACCGAGGTCTGTCTGAATTACAAAGGGCAATCTTCTCTCATCCATCCATCAAAGGGCTCTCTAGGTTTTCCTTTAAATTTCACTGAAAGTCCTGAGGGTCATCTTCTTCCAGAGCTTGGGCAGTGGAGACCCCAGAACTGGCCAGAGTGGGGGCCACCACCCAAGATTCTGGTCAGGTGGCGTTTTCGCCATCTAGCACAGCGCCCCCCCCTTGCTGTGGTCACAGCTGATCAGTGTGCTTGGCAGGGACACACGGTGACACTGTTTCCTCAGCCTCCATATTAAAGGTGGCGCTTTGCTCAGTGCTGGGACAGTGACTTCCTGTTACTGCTGCAAGTCCAGTGAGAAGTGGGGTTCTAGTGCAGCCCCCCAACCTCTCCCCAGACCCTGGTAGGCCGGGGGGACAGTTAGTGTCACCTGGCCACCCCTCCCTGGACCCTCTTGGCCCCCCAGTTTTGCCCTTGACCCATCTTCCTGGAAGAGGCGGGGGTCCCGAGCCTTAGAGGGAAGGAGCCCTGGAAGCCCGGTCACTGGGAGCTAATGGACTCTTCCTGCCGAGCAGGATCGACGTACACCGGAAGGAGAACGCAGGCGCCGCGGAGAAGGCCATCAGTGTGCACTCCACACCCGAGGGCTGCTCCTCAGCCTGCAGGATGATCCTGGAGATCATGCACAAGGAGGCCAAGGACACCAAGACGTAAGTATCTGTGCACCGGGCTCAGGGAGCGCCTGCCTTTGGATTTGGGACCCTCCTGCATCAGCCTCCTGGAGTGCCGAGATGATCAGGGTTCAAGACCGTGACTTGCCTAGTTGGGCCCACATTTATTAATTTTATTTTATTTTATTTTATTTTTGTCTTTTTGAGACAGGGTCTTGCTATGCAGTTCAGGTTGGCCTTGAGCTCACTTTGTAGCCCAGGTTGGTCTTGAACTCACAATGATCCTCCTGCTTCAGCCTCCCGAGTGCTGGGATTACAGGCATGAGCCACCACACCCGGCTATTGGGCCCACAATTAGATAGCAGTAAGGACTCAGATCCTGAGAGCCAAGGGGTAGTGACTGAATATTGCTGTTAATTCCCTCCAAAAACTTCCTTCTTGTTCCCTGTGTTTTCTGGAGTAAGCAGTTCTGTAAGTCTAGTCCTTTGTCTCTTGGGATTTTTTTAAAGCTCTCCTTATGCAGTTCAGATTGGCCTTGAGTTTGCAGGATCCTCCTGTCCCAGCCTCCTGAGTGCTGGGATTGTAAGTCTCCACACCTGGCTCTCATGAGCATCTTTATTTATATGATTCGATAAGAAAAACAGAACACAGTGCCTGCTGCTGCCGGGGGCCATCTCGTGGAAAGCCAGGCTATAAAACCTGACGCAGGCGACTTGTGGTTTTTCCCAGCCAAAATGTCCAGCGCCTTTTTGTGGCATTTTGAATCAGTTCTGGATATCGGGGCAGTCACGACAACACTGAAGACGGTCATGAAAGAGGACTTCCAGGGCTGCTCCAGAGAGTGACAGGAAGGCTGGGTGTCAGGATGCTCGCCTCTAATCCCAGCCCTTGGGAGGCTGAAGCAGGAGGATCGCTGAGAGTGCCATGCCAGACTGGGCTTGCAGCAGGAACTGCATGATGAGACCCTGTCTCAAAAAAATAAAAAAGTAGCTAGATCGGTGGGACAGATACATGAAGTGAGCTGGGAAAGGTATTTACAGCAGTGTGTTTTTGTTCTGTGAGGTTTTCCCCCTTTTTGTCTTGGTTCCGACTGGCCTTATGGGCACTTTATAGCTGAAACTGGCCTTGAACTTGCAGTGATCCTCCTGCCTCATCCTCCTGAGGTGAGAGCTGGGATTACAGGCATGTGTCACCGTGCCCGGCTGTTTTTTTTTTTTTTTTTTTAAACATGGTTATCTTTAAGTTATTGATAATTCTTCTATCAATATCTAAAGATATTGATAATATCTTTAAGTTATTGATAATTGTCCAAATAGTATTAGCACAAACCTTTCTTTTTAGTGAACAAAGAGAAATTAGTAATATAACTAAACTGTCTTTTATATATATTCCTTTCTTTTCCCTTCCTTTTCTCCGTTTCCTCATCCCAGTTTCCTTTTCCTGTTTTACAATACCTGTGGCACATTTTGTATCTTGTGTACTCTTTCAGCTTCACACACGAGAGACTGTTTACACTTGCACGCCTGATTTGTTTGACTTCTAAAAGTCTCTAGTCTGTCCTGAGTAGTACTCCATCATGTTAAAATACCACCTCTTTTTTTATCCGTTCCTCTGTTGATGGGCATTTGCATTGTTTCTAAGATTTAGCTATTACAAATTCTGCTGCTACAAACATGGGTGCACATATGATGTTATTAATTCTTCTGGAAAGGTACGTAGAAGAGGGGCAGCTGGGCCAAGTTGTACCTTTAATCCTAGCTTTTTGAGGACTCTTCACACTGATTTCCACAGTGGTTGTCCAGTCTATACTCCCACCCACAGTGGAGAAGGGTTTCTTTTTCCCCACAGCCCCTCCAGCATTTGTTACTGGTTGATTTCTTGCTAATATTTATTCTTTCTGGGGTGAGGTGGGATCTCAGAATTGTTTTAATTTGCATCTTTTGAATGACCAGTGACGGCGAACGTTTTTCATGTATTTATTTGCTGCTTGTATTTCTTCATCTGAGGACTGGATTTATTAGACGTGCATTTTTGAGTTGGGAGGACTGGTTATTTTGAGTTCTTTATGTGCTCTTGATAGTAATCCTTTGAGGAATAGCCGGCAGAAATTTTCCCCCCACGCTGTGGGCTGTCTCTTACTCTGTTGGTCTCTCCTGTGCAAAAGCTTTAGTGAGAGGAGATCTCAGTTGCTGATTCTTTGTGATAGTTCCTGAGCCATCTGGGGTTTGGGGGTCTTCTATGTAGAGTATCGTGTTATCTGCAAAGAATGCTAGTTTGACTTCTTCCTTTCCATCTGATTCCTTTTATTTCCTTTTATTTCCTTCTCTGGTCTAATTGCCCAGGCTAAAGTTTCCAGGACCATGTTGAGTGAGAGTGGAGACAGTGGACATCCTTGTCTTGGTCCTGATTTTAGAGCGAGAGCTTTCGGTTTTTGTCCATTGGTGCAATGTTGGCTGCTGGTTTGTTGCAGGTGGCTTTAATCAGATTGAGATAAAGACCACCTACTCCAGCTTTCTGTAGGATTTTTATCATGAATGGGTGCTGGACAAAAGGATTTTCTGCATCTGTTGAGATGATGATTTTTGTCCCTGGCTCTGTTATATGGGGCATTACATTTATGGATTTACCTATGTTGAACCATCATCCCTGCATTCCTGGGATGAATCCCACTTGGTCATGATGTATAATCTTCTTGGTGATTTGCTGCATTATGTTTGCCAGTATCTTACTGATTTTTGCATCTGTGTTCATTAGGGGATTGGCCTGTAATTCTGCTTCCTTAGTTTGACCCTTTCCAGGAACGAATTTTGGGAGTATTGCTTCCCTTTCATTAAAGAGTTTGAGAGGCAGTGGTGTCAGGTCCTCTCTAAATTTCTCATAGCAATTCAGCAGCAAATCTGCCCGGGCCTGGGCTTTTTTCTTTGTTGCTAGGTTTTTATTTATTACATCTTTGGGCTGGGGATTTAGCTCAGCAGCATAAGCACCTGCCTTCCAAGAGTGTAGTTGTGAGTTCGATCCCCGGTACCACCAAACCAAAAAAAAAAAAAAAAAAAAATACATCTTTGATTTCTTTGATTGATATTGGTTCATATGGGATTATTATATCTTCTTGATTCAGCTTTGGTAATTCATATGCAGCCAGGAATCGGTCCGTTTCTTGTGGCTGTTTTGTCATTAGAATACACATTTTCAGAGTAGATGTAGATCTGGGTTTCAGGATCTGAGGGGATTTTACCCTTTTTATTCCTGGTTGCATGGATTTGAGTCTTTTCCTTTTTTTTGTTAACATTTGATAAGGGTTTGTTGATTTTTAATCTTTCAAAGAACCAACTGTTTGATTCCTTGATTCTTTTTTTTTAGTCTCAGTGAGTTAATTTCTGCTCTGATCTTTATAATTTCCTCCTTCATGAGCTTTTGGCTTAGCCTGCTCTTTTTCTAGAAGTTTGAGGTTCATAATTAAGTTGTTATTTGCACTTGCTCTGTTTGCCTGTTAGGGGTGTTCACTGCTATAAATTTCCCTCTTTCTGTTTTCATTGTGTCCCCTAAGTTCTGGTAGGTTGCATTATTGTTACTCAACTGTGTGTGGGTTTTTTGTTTTGTTTGTTTCGGTCTTTTTAAGACCGTTTCACTATGCAGTTCAAGGTGGCCTTGAACTCACTTTATAGCCCAGACTGGCCTCCAATTCACAGCATTTTTCCTGCTCACCCTCTCGAGTGCTGGAATTACAGTACACGCCTGAGCCACCACACCTGGCTAGGGTTGTAGAAGCTGTGTGATCTCTTCTTTAGGTTCATCTGTGACCCATTGGCTGTTCAGCAGGGTGCTGTTTAACTTCCATGTGTTGATGAAGTTCTCGTGGTTTCTTTCGCCATTGATTTCCAATTTCACTGTGGTCTGATGGTCTGCCTGGGCCAATTTTTGTTCCTGGCGTTCACCTCAGTCGCATGTTCTGGGAGCCAGTGTGTGGGTGTGTGGGGAGCATCTGGGTGCAACTGAGAAGCTGTGTAATCTGATGTCATGGCTGGAACACTGCAGACATCTACTAAGTCCTCTTGTTTGAAAGTTTGGTTCAGTTCTATTGGTTTTTTTTTTGTTGTTGTTGTTGTCTAGTTGATCTGTCTTTTTTGTGACAGCAAGGTATTGAGATCCCCAATCATTGTATTAGTGCTTATTTGATGTTTCATGCCCATTAATGTTTGTTTTATATAGTTGGGTGCACTGATAGATATATATCATATATACGTAGTTCTTTCGAGGGGTACTGGGAATGTAAACGTATATACAAGGATGTAGTGACTGTCTTTATCTCTCTTAATCAGTCTTGGCTTGAAATTGCTTGCAAAATAGAAAAGCTACCCCTGGAAAGTTCTGGGTTCCTTTCACATTAAGTATTATTTTCCAGCCTTTGTTTTCCAGTCTTTCAATTCGTTTTATAATTAAATGTGTTTCTTGTGTGCAGCACGTTGTCGGATCTTGCTTCTTGGTGCATTCTGCCAGTCTGTAGTCTTTTGATCGGTGAATTGAGACCATTAAATTGATGGTTACAACTGATACGTACCCAGTCCTCAGAAGGCTGAGGCAGGAGGATCCTTGCAAGTTCAAGACCAGCCTGGGCTACAAAGTGAGCCCAAGCCCAGACCGAGCTGCGAAGTGAGACCCCGTCTCAATTGATTTACCCTCGTCATGTTCCTTTCCTGTTGTTAGCTACCCCCATTTTCCCCCCTTTCTGTTTGTTTGCTTTTCCTTGTAAAATTCCTTCTGTTGAGGTTCATGGAATTGTAGTCCTGGTTATCTCTTTCTAGAAAGTCCTTCAGAGCACTTTGGAGTGCAGGTTTGGTCGGCACAGATGTTCTTTGTTGTGGAAATATCCTATTACTTCATCAGTTTGAGGAGATAGTTTTGTGCGTGCATCCTTCTGGGTTGAAGGTTTTTTCCTTCAGAACTTGAAATACTTCGCTCCAAGCTCGTGGACCCGAGGGCTTGTGCTCAGCAGTGAGCCACAGTTGGGGTGGCTTCCCTTGATGGCAGGTCTGTTTCTTTTCCCTAACAGCTTTTAAGATTCCGTTCTCGAACTGCATTTCTGGAGTCTGGACTCTGGGATGGTTGGTTGGTTGGTTTGTGGCTACCTGGAGTTCTGTGTGCGTCACCTGTGTGTGCTCTTTTTCTCTGCCGGGAAGTTTTCTGCCATGGTGTCTGTGAACAGGTCTTTTTCACTGATGCCAATTTTAAATTATTCTTGTGGGCCTTGTGTAGCACCTCATGGTCCTTTGCTATTTTTAAGCACCTGCCTGGCGATTGCGGGGTGGGGAGATGGATCCCTGCTACCGTGCCCCGCCGCAAAGAAATCTTTCCGTATCTGAAATCCTGTCCTCAGGTTGGCTTACTCTGCCACAAAAATTTCCAATGGCGGTTTTATTCTCCCGCATATCTGCTTGGTTCGGCCTTCTGCATTCTGTTCGTTTCCCATGTCGAGCATTCAGGGCTTCCGTGATTCTCTGCAGCGCGTCTGTGTTTCTGTCCATATCTGCCCTAGAGCTCGGCCTTCACTGTGGACACCATCTCTGCAGTTACCTGAGCGATTCTTTCTGATTTGTCTTCCAGTGCCTCACTGCATTGCTTTGTTGTTAAGGTTAGGGTTCCTGGGGTGATATTTGTGGCTGCTTTATTACTGGCGTTTAGGACCCTGGGGTAAAGAGTGGCTGCTTCTCCGAGGTGTCTGCCGGGTGCAGCTGGCTTTTGGCTTCTGAGTCTATCGCAGGACCCTACCTCTTCAGTTTGTTTGAATGAGACATTACCGCTTGCCTGGCCCAGTCTCCGGCACTGTGCCACAGTATTTTCTGTGTGGTCTTGGGCAGTCTCCGTGGTGGAATGTGGGAAAGAACAGCCGTTTAGAATATTTGTGTCGCTTTTGGCTGCAGTGGTACCAAGAGCATCAGACACAGCGGAGAAGGCCGGGGATTTAGCTCAGCCGCCCAGGCGCTGGCCTAGTAAGTGTGAGGTCTTGCCCCTAGTACCAAGGGGCGGACGGGGTAAGGGGGACCCAGTAGATACAGCCTAGGAAATGACAAACTGAGCTGGCCATTAATTTGCCACTTTTAACCACATGAACTGGATCTGTGATTGTGTAACAAAGTCTAAAACCAGAAAATGATACGCGTACAAACCCTTAATGTGTCAACTTTGACCTCAGGGTTTAAAATGTAAAATGGGTAGAGTAGAAAATAGAGAAGTGCAAGAAGAGGAAGCGATTACAAGTAAGGTTGGGGGGCACAGGGGCTCACGCTAACTTTGGGGAACTGGTGCAGAAGACTGGAGGGAAAGAAGGAAGGAACAGAAAGAGACGAACGGGGCAGAAACAACCAGAGAGGCAATTGCGCAAATTCACGCTCATGAAGAAACACGACCAGACAGTGAAGGGGGAAAAGCAAAAAACAAATCACAATCACAACAAAATCACAGCAGAAGGGAAAAGGGGGGACAGAAAAAGCCCACTTTCAAGCTTGCCTCTGCCAGCCCCAGGGGACCTGGAGACAGAGCCCCATCCCAGCTGGTCTCAGCCTGCATGTTCGGGCCAGGACCAGGCCCCGAGCCCTGCCCTGTGAGCCTGGCCGGAGCTGGAAGGGGCTCTGAGCTCTGACCTCAGCCTGCCCGTCTCCAGGACGGCTCCAGGCCACCTGCCGTCCGTCTCATGCAGGAGGACAGAGGCCTCAGCCCTCACTGCCAGCCAGCACAAACTTTCCCGTCAGCTGACGCCCGTGCATGGTGCCATGGCAGGGGCGGCACGGGGTGGGGGGAGGGGAGCGATATGGTTTTTACTATAATGGAATTTTTCTGGTATGGGGAATCGAACTCAGGACCTTGCATTTGCCAGGCAAGCACTGCGCTGCTGAGCTGACCCCCAGACTATTAGGGATTTTTAAATATTTTGAGACCAGGCCCAGGCTAGCCTTGAGCTTGGGACAGTACTCGAAGTATTTGGCCATCTGGGTGTACATGTACACAATACCTTAGCAGTATCTTTCAGCAAGAAAAACACTGAAGAGTGAAGACCCAACAAAGTTAACGAGGTAGAATGAAAATCTGCTCCAAATACTTGTTTCTGAGGCAAAGGCACCTCACACCTGTTCGGTTAAGAAACCCATCCTCACAAGACAGAACCGTTTTTTAAGTGGGCCCTGGAACACATAGCTGCTGGCCGAAGTCCACACTATTGAGCGGTCTGGCTCTGCACTTCAGGCTGGCTGGGGTCCTCCTTCCTCAGGCTCCCACACTGGAAGCCTGCCCTTGGCGGGGCTGTGATAACGCGTACCCAGCCTGTTGGCACCGCTGTTGTTCAGACAGAGTGGGGACCCCAGCCTGGGGCCCCTCGCTGGTTTTTGTGTGCAACACTTTGGTCCTGGAAGTCAGAGGTGGCTTGGTCGCTGGGCCCCCGTGACCACCGTCCAAGGCGCTCTGATTACCCCGTGTCTTCCGCAGGGCTGACGAGGTACCCCTGAAGATCCTGGCCCACAATAACTTTGTAGGGCGTCTCATTGGCAAGGAGGGGCGCAACCTGAAGAAGGTGGAGCAGGACACGGACACGAAGATCACCATCTCCTCGTGAGGCTCCCGGGGTCCCTGCAGGGGGTGGCGCTTGGGGTGGGTGCTTTGTCCTCAACTAGGAGCCGGGGCTGCAAGTCCTTGGGCACCTAAGGGCCAGGTCAGCTCCTGGCAGTGCTGTGCCCTGTCAGTCTTGAGTGGGCACAGTAACCCTAACAAAGCAGCAGATGATGGCCTTGCACCTTGGGGATGCTGGCTGCCTCAGCCTCCTGCCCCACGTGATCGGTGCCCATCGCTTGTCACAGTGGCTTCATGTAGATGTGCTCAATGGTTGCCCTGGCAACCACCTGGCATCCCCAAATTTAGTGGCACGGAGAGTAATTCGCCAGCAGTTAGGTAGTTCAGGCTGAGGTGGAAGGATGGCTGCAAATTCAAGGTTGCCTGGACCACATAGCCAGGCCCTGTCCCCAAAGGCTGACAGACAGAAGCGAGGTGGTCTGGAGATCAGCTGGTCAGCCCGCAGTGGCCTCTGGGCCTGGGCAGTGTTGGTGACACCCCTGTACCTCTGTCTCCTGCCAGGCTGCAGGACCTCACGCTCTACAACCCTGAGAGGACCATCACTGTGAAGGGCGCCATCGAGAACTGCTGCCGGGCCGAGCAGGAGATCATGAAGAAGGTCCGGGAGGCCTACGAGAACGACGTGGCCGCCATGAGTGTGAGTCTCGTCCCTCTGCTGCCCTCCCTGGGTGACGGGCAGGCAGGACTGCCGCAGCGCCACCTGCAAGCTCTGGGCAGATTTGGGCACCGACAAGGACTCGGTCCTTACACAAACCTCAGGCCCTGTGGCTTGGGGAGGGAAGTGACCCCGGGGTTTGCAGGTAGGAGGGAGAGCTCCCGTTGTCTTGGTCTTCACGGTGAGGGGCCGTTTCTAACAAGCAAAGGAATAGGAGCTGTGGGCTGGGGATTTAGCTCAGCGGCATAAGCACCTGCCTTGCAAGCAGGCAGTCGTGAGTTCGATCCCTGGTACCAATAAAAAAAACGAAAAAGACAAAACAAAAAAAAACAAAACAAACAAACAAAAAAAATTTCAGAAAAAAAAAAAAAAAAGGAATAGGAGCTGTACCAGAACTGTCACCTGGGCAGCTAACAGAAGCTGTGGTGTGCTGGCTGGGGACAGGGTGGGGTTCACAGCCCATGTTCCCTCCGGGGCCTGTGGGTGGCCCTGGGTTGCAGGTTCACTTCGTCAGTGACAAAAGCCCCAAACTGATACCCTCACAGGACCACACTGAGTTCTGGCCAGGCTCCATACTTATCATTGGAGTGAGTTCGTTCTTTCTTTCTTTGGTTCGTTTATTAGTTCGTTCGTTCGTTTTTTTGGGACAGGGTCTCACCATGTAGTCAGGCTGACCTTGAGCTCAGTATGTAGCCTGGGCTGATCTCAAACTCCAGAGGAGCCTCCTATCTGCACCTCCTGAGTGCTTGGGCCTTTGGTTTTTGGCTTTGGTCTCGTGAAACAGGGTCTTGTTCTGTAGTTGAGTGTGGCCTGAGCTCACTGTGTAGGCCAGGCTGGCTTTGAACCTGTGATCCTCCTGCCTCAGCCTCCCACATGCTCCACCACACTGGCTCCAAGTGTCTGTAAAAGTGGGGAAACCACAGGCTGGGCAGGCTCTTGTGCCCGAGCATGTTCTCCTTGCATGTGGCACCCCCTCCAGGGGGCTCACCCTGCTTGCTTAGCCAGTGCCACACATGAAGTCCCAGCCCTGCCCAGATGAGCTGACCGTGATCCTGACCTGTCCCTCCCCTCTCTTCGCAGCTTCAGTCCCACCTCATCCCCGGTCTCAACCTGGCCGCCGTGGGGCTCTTCCCGGCCTCGTCCAGTGCCGTCCCACCGCCCCCCAGCAGCGTCACCGGGGCTGCTCCCTACAGCTCCTTCATGGTAGGTGGGGATCCCATCCCAGGTGGCCCCCTAAAGAGGTCCCTTTTCCCGTCCTCCTCGAGGTCTGGGAAGTTTATATTTGCAATCCCATGGAAGCGTTGTTGGAATTCTAGTGAGTTAATTCCAATCTACCACCCCCTAAGCAACCCACGGAGAGTAAAAGGACACTAGGACATATTTATAGCACGGGCAGCTGAGGGGTCCTAAGTCTGGCCCAGGTGAGGGTTCAGGGAACGAAGGCCTTGACCCAGGCCCCACCCCAGAGTTTATTAGTTTGTGGAGAAGGGAGTGGCTGGGGGATGGGTAACTGGGAGGATGGCGGAAATGACATGAGTACCCCGGCTGGGGGAGCTGGGAGGTCTGGAAGCACCTCGAGCATTATGCAGAGAAGGCCGAGCAGAAAGGCCGGGCTGCAGAGCATCTGGTATGAGGAGGCCGGGGCTTCAGTTCTGATGTGTTCTACCTCGGGCGCTGGCTGTGCCAGCCTGCTGGGCTGAACCTTTTGGAGAGACACTGTGGTGGGGAAAACGGACTGATGTCTGCCTTTGAAGATCAACCCCAGTACCTCAGCCAGCCCCGTTTAGATTGCTCAGAGCCCTTTGAAAGGAAAGGAAATGACCCAGCCAGCTCTGTACCGGGTACGGGGAGACAGGGCCGGGCCAAGTTTAATCAAAGTGGAGGTGACTGCTTTGTATTCAAGGAGAGGGCTCCCCCCACCCCACCCCCGCTCCTGGTGGTCTCCACAGCTTTCCTTAGGGACCCCAGCTGCCGCAGGAGTCTCTGTTGCCCAGGGAGAGGAAGTGAGTTTCAGGGGCCTCCAGAGGCTGCTGGAAGCTGCACGACTTGCCTGGCCACCGCCTCTCCCCCTTGACCTAGTTGGGCTCACAGTATCCTCTGGCCGCCCGGGGTGGCAGGTGGGGCTGGGGCCATGGGTCCTCAATTGTCCCCTGGTAGTAAGGTGCCCCTGTCCCGCAGCAGGCCCCGGAGCAGGAGATGGTACAGGTGTTCATCCCCGCCCAGGCTGTGGGCGCCATCATCGGCAAGAAGGGGCAGCACATCAAGCAGCTGTCCCGCTTCGCCAGCGCCTCCATCAAGGTACCGGGTCCCCCGAGGCTTCTGCGGGCCTGGAGGGGTTTACTCCTCCAAGTAGGGTCTCCTCTTCCCCTGGCCTCGTGGTGTTTTTGCTTTCCACCTTGCTGGATTCTCTGTGAGTGCGTCCAGGGCTTCCAGCTGGGTGGGCGCCATGTGGGTGTCAGCTCCAGCCTGCTGCCCTATGACATTCTGGGCACCCAAGCGCCTCACCAGGTTGGGGAGGGGCAGGAAGCCTGGGAAAATGTCCGTCTGTGACCCCCTGTTACCCTGCAGATTGCACCGCCAGAAACACCTGACTCCAAGGTTCGAATGGTCATCATCACTGGACCGCCAGAGGCACAGTTCAAGGTGACCTTCCCCACCCAGAAGGGTTGCAGCCACTTCTCTTAGCTGCCAAGGCCTCGTCATGCCTTTTCCAAAGGGTACACAACTCTCAGGAGTGGGCATGGTGCCCTTGAGCCCCGTGTTTCCTCCCCTTCAGTGCCTGCAGCTGCAAGAGGGCCGGGGTCAGGGAGGAAGTCAGGGTCCCTGCATTTGACGCCAAGCACTCTTGGGTTCTTAAACTTGAAGTCAGTTGTCACAACTCCTAGGCTTCACTAGGATTGGGCTGTGACAGCTTTCTGGCCCAGGAGAGGGTCGGACAAGGCTCCTCTCGGTCAGCTGGTCATTGCTGCTGCTTTGGGCTGACGTCCTGGGTCGGGTTAAATGGATGCCTGAATCATGATGTCCCCAAGTCTGCGCGATTACGGTGGGCAGGTGGTCACAGGTGTCCACCCTCTCAGGTTGGGGTCTCATCCCTCTGCCCACCACCCTGTTGGCCACCTGATTAATAAGCACCTGCTTTGCCAGGCTCAGGGAAGAATCTATGGCAAACTGAAAGAGGAGAACTTCTTTGGACCCAAGGAGGAAGTCAAGCTGGAGACCCACATACGGGTGCCGGCTTCTGCTGCCGGCCGGGTCATCGGCAAGGGAGGCAAAACGGTGAGCCCACGGGCCCAGCTGGAGGCCTCCTGCCCTGTCCTGGCTGCTGTGGGGCTCCCCAGTTGCTTCCAGCTTGCCCAGCTCAGCTTCTAGTTCTTCCACTGCTAGGCCTCTTCCCTTGAGGTCTGCCTGCCTGTGCCTGCTTTTTTCTTTGGGGGGGCAGCACTGTGGTTGGAATCCAGACCTCCTCACAAATGCCAGACAAGCCCTCTACACCTCACGCAGTCTGGGCAGTACCTGAGCTCCTCTGGTCACCCCTAGGTGAACGAGTTGCAGAATTTGACAGCGGCGGAGGTGGTGGTGCCGAGAGACCAGACCCCCGATGAGAACGACCAGGTCATTGTGAAGATCATCGGGCATTTCTATGCCAGCCAGGTACCCGTGGGCTGTCTGGGAGGAAGGCAGGCACAGGAGCAGAGGCAAAAAAGGCTCAGAAGGTCGCCATCAGCACCCTGAGTGTTGGGTTTTATTTTGTGATCTTTTTTTTTTTTTTTTTTTTTTTTGGTCCAGGGATCGAACTCACAGCCTTGTGCTTGCCAGGTGGGTACTTGTGCCCGGCAGGCCAAGTGCTGGGATTGCAGGCATGTGCCTCACTCTGGCTTGATTTGCCAAGTTTCACTGGGTTGCGTGACTGCTTATGGAACCGCAATGTTATCCTTACACATCGCCTTCCTGTTTGTCCCTCATTTATGCCCTTTATGCACTAGATGCATTATCCTGCACCCAGTCATGTTCATGGGATCATGATAACCATGGCAACGCCCTGTTTGCAGGTGTGATTCCTTTTGTCTTTTCCCAGCCTCTTCCCATTTTTTCCCCCTCCAGCTCCCTTCCTGAGAGCCGCCCAGACCTGCCCGGCACCAGGGCATATAGGGTGAGGCGAATCTCAGGTTCCAATTTTGCTGGACTCCAGCAGTTCGAGGACAGGGTGACTGCAATGAATGCAGTTCTAAAACTGGAGCTGGCCAGGTGCAGGAACCAGAACCCAGCTGTGTTCTACGGGAAGAATGAAGGGAGTAGGCCTGGGATTTATTTAGCTCAGTGACACAGGTGCCAGCCTGGCAAGCAGGAGGTTGTGAGTTCGATCCCCAGTTCCCAAAAGAAGAAAAGAGTAGGAAACCGGGTTCCCAGGCACCGAGTGCTTGCCACGGTGCTGTAGAGCCTCTGGAGCGGTGTGGGATGCAGTTCTTTTGGGGGAGGAAGCTCCCGTTTCGGGGTCTGTGACCTCCCCACCCGGCCTGTTCTTGCCGTCCTAGATGGCCCAGCGGAAGATCCGTGACATCCTGGCGCAAGTAAAGCAGCAGCACCAGAAGGGACAGAACAGCCAGGGACAGGCGCGGAGGAAGTGACCAGCACCTTCCCATGCCCCAGGCTGTGGGGCCGAACCCCAGAGCCCACTGTGCCCCCTGCAGGCCTGAGAAGGTGTGGGAATCGGGGACCCCGGGGCCTTTGGGAGATCAGGTTTGCCCACCCACCTGACACAGCTGCTCCGTGAGGAACCTGATCCCTGGCTCCTCAGAGCCCTGGCCAAGCAGCCCAGGCTGCTCACCCCTCGGCATCACCGCAGAAACCAGCTCAGGGAGCTTTTAAACGTGGATTGTTGCAGGAAGTTCTCCGCCCCACCCCCAAGAAGGTGGGATTAGGGCCCATGGGGACGAGAAATAAAATTTCCTTCAGGTTTTTAAAAACCTCCAAGGATGGTTTGTTTCTTGACCCTAAAGTCTCTCCAGTTTTCTTCCCCCTACTTGGTACCTCCAGTCTCACGTTGGGGTGCCCCTGCCTCCTATATTTGCTCTGTTTTATCTTAACTGCTACAAAAAAAAAAAAAAAAATCAGAGCTAAGTAGAGCGGTGTGGCACGGCTATAGCACCAGGTCCTCAGAGACCGGTCCTGCTCTGGAGCCTAAATCCAGTCTTTCCCGTGGGAACTGCAGGGAATAAACAGGGAGGGAAGCCGGGCGTGGTGGCGCACGCCTGTCCTCCCAGCAGCACTCAGGAGGCTGAGGCAGGAGGTTCGCTTTGAGTTTGAGGAGCCTGATAAAGCAAGCCCCTGTATCTCAAACGACAAAACAAAAGCAAATTAAAGAGAGGGGAGAAATGGGGAGAAAGATGAATTAAATTACATGGCAATCCACGTTTAAAAGAAGTGCCCGTGGGCTGGGTTTATAGCTCAGTGGCCCAGCACTGCCTAGCGTGTGCGAGGTTTTGATTCCCAGCACCACAGACAGAGAAAGAGCGCCCTGTGGGCTGGCCCGGTCCCCAAAGCCACTGTTCTTGAGAGTAAAATCTGGCCCAGTGTGTTGGGGCCTCCCCGCTGCGCGCTTCCCTTGAGCCCTGGGGGTCCCACGTGGTGTCCAGAGGAGGTATTGGGTGGCACTGAATGCCTGGCAGGGTGGGTGGGCTCCCTGCCGTCCCTGGCTCCCCTCGTTCTCAGGAGGATTTTATATTTTTCTAGAGTCTATTTTAATGATTGGATGTGAGCACTGGGAAGGGACCTGACTCCCCTTGAGAGAGCCTCAGGCCCGAGGCCGAGTCCAGTGGCCCAGAGGAGCCCTGGCTCCAGCCCACGCCCTGCCGCAGGAAGGGCTGGTGGGGGGATGTCGGGGTCCCGCTATCCACCACAGCACTGTCTCCCACGGGGGTTGTGGCTGGCTGGGGGGACACTCTGCCCACCCCTGACCTCCCACTCCAGCCAAGGCCCAGCGCCTGGCCAATTCGGTCTGTGGGAGAGAACTGACTTGTGTGTTTTAACCCTAGAGGAGATGATGGCACTGATGGCTTGTGGCTCCGAGAATTCCTGTCATGGTGGGAGGTGCGCCTGGAACGGAATTCTGAGTGCAGGGCGCTGGGGCGGGTAGAGGGGAAAAGATTCACAGATCCATTCACCAGGCAGAGCCTGTGGGAGCGCAGCCCTGCACAGGGCAGGAGCTGCCTGCCACGAGGTCCCCGGCCTCTGTGACTGTCAATGCATCTTACCAGGTGATGCACTTTAGCTACCCTGGACACAGCTGTGGAGCAGCCGGGAGGGTGGAGGGCTCCCCCTCCTGACCCACCGACACTGCAGAGTGACCCTGGAGAGACTACCGAAGTGACATGGGGTGGTGGGTGTCAGGCAGTGCTGTGTGAAGTGAAACTACCTCAAGGTGTGAATTACCTCAGCAATTGTCCCCTTTTCCTTCCCCTCGTCCCTGTTTCTTCTTTCTTTTTTTTTTTTTTTTTTAATTATTTTTGATTTTTTTTTTCTTTTTCGTTGCGGCTTGCTGATATTTTATATATAAAAAAAAGAAAAGCAGAGCAAAAAAAAAAAAAAGCGGATAGTCTTGAATATTTTATTTTTTTAATGAAAAGAAAAAAATGAGAAAGTTATGTTTCAGAATTTCTTATGCTGTGAGCCAGTCTGTCACCTGTTAGGACAGGAGGGGCCCGCTGGGCAGGGTGGTGGCTGGGGACGGACCCGGGGCTTCGAGTGTGGGGCTTTTCTGGGCTCTGTCTCTGGCTTTGGACCCCAAACCAATGGGCCGGCCCTCGGGTTCCCCTCCCCCTCTTGGCCGATGGCACCCTGGCCTCGAATGGCACCCGGCCAGTCTGCCCTCCAGGGGGTGCCATTGTGATATTTTAAAATAGTGCCTCCGTTTTACCGAGGAGAGAAATAGCTACAAAACACACCCTTTCAAAAAGCAAAACAAAAACACAATACCCTGTGCCTCTCTGTCTTAAAAAACTAGGGGAGCCGATATCCCATGCACAGGAGGAAGATGAGGCTGCCTCTCCTTGGGGTTCCCTGGGCCCGTGTCCGCCTGGCCATTGCCAGGCTTGTCCTGTGGATTCTGGTTTCGGTGTCTTTGCCCGTACTGTCTCGCTCTCAGTGTGGGTGCGCTTGGGGCCTCACTGCCCCCAGCTCCTTGTCATCTGGAGATCCATTGAGCTTCTGGGCGTGGATTCCCATTTAGACGCAGGACCGGAGAGGAGAGGAGGGCATGGACAGCCGTGTCTGCCCGTGGGCAGTGCCACCTCTGTCCTGTGACATCCTGTGGTGGCCCCAGAACTGGAGAAAGCACCTCAGGGTGATGTGCAGCTCCCCTGTCCCAGCCATGGAAAGGGTCTCCTGGCTGCTTTCCGGCTCTGGCTCTATGCTTTGTCCCCAAATGAAGCAGAGAATGTTCAGACTTTTGGCCGTTTAGTGATTTAAAGTGGATTTTCAGCAGCAAGCGTCCTTTGATATCCGATTCAAACGATCATCAGGAAAAACAAAACGAAAAAGCCCACAGTATCCGCAATGTGATTGTTGCAGTGTTAGGTTCCCGGGGGGCCTGCACCCTCCCCGAAGGGGCCACCACGCGTGACCCCCCATCCCCCCCAGGGGACCATCCCGTCCCCCACTGCCCAATGGGATAGTCACTCATGGACCACCAGTGCCTCGAGCTGGCGAGAACGTGTTAAGCCTGGGACCCTTTCCTTTAACTCGTGCAGCCCCCAGAGACCTGGATGGGGTGGGCGCAGGACCCAGAGCCTCCTGGGAGCCCCAGGCTCGCTGGGCAGGGAGTAGTGCCCACCGCAGCCGGCCCAGGTTTGCCAGCGACTGGCTGATTGGCAAGCAGGCTGCAGGGACAGGGTTGACGATGGCTTAGGTGGCGCAGGAAGGAGGGAGAGCTGTCTGGGTGCAGGTGCTCCTGTGACCCGCGGGGCCAGGTCTTAGGGCGCCCCCGCCCGAGTCCTAAAGCCCTGGGTGGGGGGAGGCGGACAGGTCTAAGGTATGCGCATGCGCATTGCGCTTGCGTGATTGTGAAAGGACCATCTTTTTAGAATCGATTTTGTAAAACTCTTGGAAACACAGAAAAAAGCCGAACAGTTTGGTTCACTGACTGTGAAGCTGCATCTGCCAGTTGCACCCCAGTGGCTTTAACCCCTCGAGGGGCCTGGCTGGGGTGGGGTCCCCGGAGGACGGGAGCCCACCTCTCCCAGATCCAGCAGTCTTTTCACGCCTTGTTTCTTACGCCTCGGCATTGGCAGTAACACCCCGGGGCGCGGGGCGCAGGAGGGAGCCCTCGGGGGCCCAGTGTCCACGTGTCCACCGTGCCAAAGACAGAGGCCGACAGTCTTCTGCCACCTCTCCCGAGGTGGGGGTGGACCGGGTCACCGGCTCTGTTGCACTTTGGTGAAGTGGGGAGACCTCCTGGGCCCCAGCTCCTCCTGGGGTCCGGACTCCTGTCCCCTGCCGAGGCGGCACCACAGGGTTCCCTTCAGGCCTGGCAGACTGGCCTTGAGGAGGGGCCTCTCCAGGGTGCCTTCCCCTCCTCGGGGCCCAGATCCCCTCTGCCAACCCGGGAGCCAGGTGCCACCAACTACCTCACGGAGCACGGGGTGCCCCGCCTCCACCCCGCTTCCTTCGGGGTGGGGGGCAGGGGAGGTCTCCTTTCCCCCCACTGCCCCTGGGCAGGTGCTAGTGGCTTTGCCACTCCAACTATGCGAATGTTTGCTTGCTTGGAGCCCAGTGGACCCCAGACTGCACAGCCGGGGGGGGGGGGGCACAAAAAGACCGAAGAGAAACCCCCACCAGCCAAGGGACACAAAAGCCATTTACCTCCGGTACTCCGTGGTGTAGATGCAGGGCCCAGTGGGATTCAGATGTACAGAACCCGGGACTGGGCTCTCCCGGGGCAGGGGCTCATGACCCGAGCTGGGTGTCCCTCGCCTGGTGGGCACCCTGCCTGATAGGGTGGGGTCCGGACTGACTTAGACAAAGGAGATTTTGTTTTTCTTTCCCGAAATTGAGTGGCAGGAGGCTCCTCGCAGGGGCCCGGGCAGCCCCAGGAGCAGGATCCAGAGTAGGAGCGTGTTAGCTACCTCAGTCCTCACGGTGAGCTCGGACAGCCGAGGGCTGGGACTCGGGTCCCAGCCGAGAGGAGCCAGTCGTGGCTCGTGCCACAAAAGGCCTGTCCTGGGGACCCACAGGCCTGCCAGGGCCCCCCCCCTGCCTCATTTCACCCCCCTGCCTAGCACCCTTCTCTGGCCTTCTGCGCCTGGCGGTGGGCAGTGACCTCAGCCCAGTCCCCTCCTGATGGTCCTCCCAGGAGACCTGAGCAGGATCCTCTGCCCTGGGAGAGCCGAGGGTCCCAGACTCGCCCAGGCCTGCTTTGTAGTTGGGGAGCCCCTCCCCTCCCTCTAATGGACCTCCTCATAGATCCCCATTTTCACGTTTGTTTTTTTATCTACCTCTTAGCAAAACAATAGAGTTAGGTAGTGGCAAAACATCACTTGCTTAGGTTAGAGGGGGGAAAGGATTTCTTTTTCCAAAGGAAAAAAAAAATACCTTAAAAATACTTTCCAAAAAACTTTTTAAAAAAACCAAAAAAAAATGTTTTTTTGTTTTTTTTAATTTTTTTGAGCGGGAAACATTTTGCAGTGACCGCTGGACTGTTTTCATTTCCTAAACTTCTCTGTTGTTATTTTTGTGTTTTTTCCCCCCGTGAATAAGTTTTGCTCTTTGGCTGTTTTCACTTACCAAGCTAGCTAGGAACAGGTGCAGTCATGTGATTGCAGGGTCCCCACCCCAGGCAGGACCAGAGGTGTGTGTGTGTGTGTGTGTGTGTGTGTGTGTGTGTGTGTGTGTGTGTGTGTGTGAGAGAGAGAGAGAGAGAGAGGTAAGCTGTAAAATCCTTACTGTATCCCTGTGGGGGTGCATGGGGGGACCCTTTGGGACATTTTCCTGCAAAATCCTGTGTAAGCCACTGCCAGTAAAGGCACCTGAAACGGATTTTTATCCGCACCTCCTCCTGTCAGCCGGAATGAGTCGTCAGCTATTCGGGTCCCTGGATCCAGAAATCTGTTTCTTAGGAATGGGAATAGGGGGCGGGGCTGGGGCTCCTAGGACTTGTGACTGTTTTTCTAAAAACCCAGCTCTACCTTGTTCTGTGACAGTGACCCTGAACCTTGTACTGTACCAGACACCTGCCGGCCATGCCACCCCGGCTGGATTGTACCTCCTGCCCTTGTGACTGTGCTGTATTCCGGGGTGGGGGGTGAGCGCTCCTGTTTTCTTCCCATAAACAAGTTCATTCCGCTGTTTCAGTTGCAAAATAAAAGGAAACTTCTAGGAACACCTCAGTGTGTGTGTGTGTGTCTCAGGGAAGGATGGGGGCACGTCCAGGAGCTGAGATGTTCACACCCTCGGGTCAATCTCAGCACCGGAGCTCTGGGTACCAGCAAAACCAAGTGGGCTAGAACTCGTGTAACGTTTCTGAGCTGGGTGTGGTGGTGCACGCCTGTAATCACAGCTCTCAGGAGGCTGAGGCAGGAAGATCACTGCAAGGTTGATACGAATGTGGGCTGCGTAGTCCTATTTCTTCATCTACAACCCAGGTAAATGCAGGCAGTTGTGCTTGTATGTGAGGTCACTCAGGATCATCCTTGGTGATTGGTTGTCACCTCCTGCCATGGCCAGCGATAAACTGTGCGTAGTGATGTCAGAAATGGTCAGTGGAGGACATGGTAGCCATCCCAAGCTGTCTCAGGTTGGCGACATTGCTGGCAGCCATGTGAGTGTCCATCTGACATCCATGCCAGATCCAGAGTCTCCCTGTTGCTGGGAATGGGACCCCCATGCCTTGATCATTGCCCTTACCCAGGGCCCAGCTTCTTTGTTTGTTTTGAAGCAGGGTCTTGTTAGGTAACCCAGCCTGGCCTCGAACTTGGGGTGATCCTCCTGTCTCAGCCTCCCAGAGCTGTGATTTACAGGCATGCGCCACCATGCCTGGCACATTGTTGAATGGCTTGAGTCTGTGCTAAGCAAGACAAAGAGCAGATCAGCTCCCAATTTTTATCTCGATTGTTGGCAAAAGAACTGAACAGAGACCAAAGTGAAAAAGACCCTCTTTTGTCCCAAAGATCCTGGCTGATCGTCATAGCGCTGTGAGAAAAATTCACACAACAGCTAATGCTTTTCTCCCCTTTGGTACCAGGGTCGGTTGAACCCAGAGACTTTGCCCTGAGCTAAATGCTCGGCTTTTTTTTTTTTTTTTTTAATCGGTATCAGGGATCAAACTCAGGACTGCTTGCTGAGCTAAATCTCCAGCCCATGCCCGTTCTTTTTTAGAGATGGGGTCTCCCTGAGTCCCTGGAGTGGTTCAGCCCCGATGACCGTGCTGCTGCTGCCCCCTAGCGGGGGAAGCCAAAAGCAAGAGGCCACAAGAAGCCTGCTGGCTGATAGTGGGGTCCCGTCTGCCCTGGGCCAGACACCACCTCCTCCCTTCTAGAATAACTAGCCTGCGTGCAAGCCCCGGCCTCCCTTCACGCCTGCCTCTGGTGTAACTTTGACACCTAAAATGTTGGGCGATGTGTATAATTCCGGAAGCAGGCTTGGTGGTGCACACCTAGCCTCCCAGCACTGTGGGAGGCTGAGGCAGGAAGATCACAAATGTGAGCCAGGCCTCAGCAATTCGACCTTGTCTCAAAAAAGGACTAAGGCCAGGCAGGGTGGTGCATATCCGTAATCCCAGTACTCGATGGCTGGAGCAGAGGATCGCTGGAAGCTCAGGGCCAGCCTGGGCTACATAGCAAGACTGCCTAAAAACAAAACAAAAACCAGAATTTAGCTCAGCGGCACAAGCGCCTGCCTGGCCAGCGCGAGGTCACAAGTTGGATCCCGGGTAACAAAACCAAGCATCGCATGCTGTCCTACTGCATGAAAATCGTGTTAACTGTCCAAGCAAAGGCAATACAGTAGTTCCGGAATTCAGGGGGGGAAAAACCTGAGGATGTAGCTCAGGGCAGAGGCCTGGAGTTCAGTCCCCAGCACCCCCCTCCACACAGGTCTGGTCCCCGCATAAGGAGCTCAAAGGGTCCCCCGTGACAGGGTCGCCTGGGATCGGCTCTTTGCGTCGGCCGATGCAGCGCGGTGCCTGCAGGGGGCGTCGCGCTCCGTACAGCGGACCGAAAGGCATTCGGGACCCGGGAGGGCCGCTGGGCAGAGGCTCGGAGCTCAGGACCTACAGAGCCTGTGGCCTCACTATGCAGCCCAAGGTGATGGCAAACTCTCCGCGATCCTCCTGCCTCAGCCTCAAGTGCCTGGAGGGCAGGCTGGTGCCCCCATGCCCGGTTTAGGGGTACATTTCAAACTGATACCTGAAAATACCAAAAAGCTTGAAACTGATGACCAGATGACCAGCTGTTAGAGAGCACAGGAAGGATAGCTCACATGAATTTAGTCTCGGAAACGAATCCTGATTTTATTGCTTTGGTACCAGGGATCGAACTCGTGACCTCCCACTTGCCTGAAAGGCGCTTATGCCACTAAATCCTAATTTTAGACCCTGACTAAAACATGTTTAAAAAGTAGCCACAAGTGAAGTTTAACAAGAAAAGTTAATTCGGATCTAGTGCGGTTTATATCAAGATTTTTTGTGTGATATATCAAGATTTTGAGAAGGTTTTATGTCAACAGTTCTTTCTGGACTTTAAAAAACAAGTGCTCCCACAGCCTGACTGAGACACTCATAATTCATATCATTAGTCCAATTACCCTGCACGCTGGCTCCCACTCAGACTCAGCCACTGCATTGGGGTTACTGGGATCTCAGCGTCCAAGGAAGGGCTGAGGCAAGAGGATCAAAAGTTTGAGTCCCGCAATTCAGCAAGACCCTATTTCAAAATAAAAGCCAGTAAGAAGCTAGGGTAGTAGCTCAGCCCCAAGGCCCTGGATTTAACCCCCAGAACTTCAAAAATAAATGAGATGCCAAAAGCCAGGCTGGTGGTACATGCCTACAATCTCAGCATTCAGGAGGCTGAGACAGGAGGAGCACCATGAGGCCAGCCTGAAATAAAGACCCGGTCTCAGAAAACTTTTAAAAATGAGAGAAAGAAAGAGTGAAAAAGGGAGAGAGAAAAAGATCAAGTTAAAACTCCAAAGTACTGCTTAGCTATAAATATAATTAGGTGAGACATTAAGAGGAAAAAAACAATATAAAAGACATAACTCATTTGCAATGAATATGATTAGTTATCAGAAATCCAAAAGGAGTTAATAAATCATTATAAATGAGCTGGGCGTGGTGTGCATGCCTGTAATCGCAGCACTCGGGAGGCTGGAGCAGGAAGATCCTAATGAGTTCAAAACCAGCCTGGGCTGCACAGTGAGCTTAAGGTCAGCCGAACTGTAGAGCAACGCCCTGTCTCAAAAAGACAAAAAACAAAAAATAGAAGAAAGGAAAAAAAAAAAAAAAAAGAAATACAAAATGAGCTGGGTGCTTAGCTTAGCAGCACAAGTGCCTGCCTGGCAAGTGCAAGGTCTGGGTTTGATTCCAGGTACCAAACAAACAAAAGAACTGAACACAGGGAGTGGCTGCACCCTGGGTAGGTGGGAGGCTACCTCAAGCAGCTTTAGCACACCTTTAGCACACGCAGCTGCTTGTCCAAGTGCCACTGTCACCGGCAATCGCCCCGTTGGTTCCTGGATCCCCTGGAGAAGCCTCAGGTCTCCGAACAGAATTGTATTGAGAGCCGATTTACACATTGAGTAACAAACCCAGTGCTGTAGCTGGGAATGGCAGTGCACACCCTAATCCCAGCATCCCAGCAGGTTGAGGCAGGAGGATCTAAAATTCAGAGACCAGCCTCGGCCAATTAGCAACTCGGAAAACCTGTTTCAGCTTTTTAGAAAGGTGGAGGATGGGGCTGAGCACAAAGCCCTGAGTTCAACCCAGGGTCATTCAGCCACCGCCAGCCACTCATTTCCGTGTTTAATGTTTTTTTTTTTAATTTTATTTTGAAAGTGGTAAGACACAACAGAACAAGACAGAATAAAGCCAACTAAGATTGTACAGTGAAATTGGTACAGAACTTCACAGCAGGTTACCGGGATAACAGTAATAGGTATCACAGTATATTTTGTTATCTTTATAATAGTTGTTCTTTCAATCACATATATCAAAATGAGATGAAATACAGAACATTATAGAACTTATCAAAACAGAATATTGAATACAGCAGTACCATTAATCAGAATAGAGCAAAACAGTAATAAAAATATTTGCCTTCAAAGAGATGGTAAAAGGAAATCTCTTCTATTTGCTATGGTCAGCCTCCCAGGAGGTGCTCAGATTTTTGGTTCCCATTTGCTAACTGGGGGTGAGGGGAGGAGAAGGGGATTAGGGGAAGTGGGATATTTGACTGTAGGCCGTGCTTCAGTAGGGTCACTATTGCTTAGCAGGGAGGCAGGCTGGTTGCTTGGTTTCCCAGCTTCGTAAGTTCCAACATGCTGTGGATCTCAGGAGACACTGGTGGTTCTCCCCCTGGAAGGGTGGCAGTCTGCCACACCGCAGCCACTTACCAGGGAGGGGAGGTGCGTGCTTCCGCGTTTAACATTTTTATAGCACAAAGGGTTGAACCCAGACCTTGGGCACGAAGCCCAAGTCCCTTCCCCCCTTCTGCTGAGCCAGGAGCTGGTGAAGTCATGGAGTGGCCCAGGCTGAGCTCTAATTTGCAGTCCTTCTGCCTCAGCCTCCCAGAGTGCTGGATCACAAAGCCAGCCTGGCTTGGGAGCACCTTTCGCCACTGGCTGCTGAAGTGCTTGGTGACAAGGAGTTAAGAGGCACCTCCCTGTTGCCCTGTTGTGCCTGATGTGTGGGCACTAGAGTCAAGAGATGAACGGGAAGGCTGGGCACGGGGACAACGCCTGTGCTCCCAGGACTGGGAGGCTGAGGCCGGAGAATTGCTGTAAGTTATAAGCTCCATGATGAGTTTAAGGCCTGGCTGCAGTCCATAAGAAGACCCTATCTGGGGTAGGGAAGGGCCACATCAAGCTACAAGAGGACACAGTCCTTGGGTTCCCCCCTCTGTGCCATTGGACAAACCAAAATCTTTGCCTCTGACCTGGGGCAGTAACCTCCGATGAGCTGATCCCCAAGGCCACCCCCAGAAGTCAGGAGTAAAGAGGGGGCCTAGGTTCAAGAGCTATTTATCAATTTATTTCAAGTTTTTTTTGAGAGAGGGTTTTACTGTGGGGCCCAGGCTGATCTTTTTTTTTTGGTCTTTTTCGTTTTTATCAGTACCAGGGATCGAACTCACGACTGCCTGCTTGCAAGGCAGGCGCTTATGCC